TTTCAACTACCTTATGATTATTTGTATGACTGTTGGAAAAATAAAAATTTAAATCACACCGATTTTCAAAAACATCCATTTAAAAATCAAAAATCCCTTGGATAGTTGGATTAACCGGTCGGTGTACACTTTTCTCGTATATGTATGTAATATTAATTATTATAATATATAAATGGACGACTATATTAAATAGTATAAAATCTTATTATTAGTATAGATCCCTATTTTTTAATATAAAGACTTGTCCACGGTGTAGAGTGTAGACTGTAGACCATTAATAATTATTGAGAAAGTATTCACTAATATTTTATTATTATTATTATTATTTATATTTTATACGCATTAAAAAGAAGATATTTTTAAAAAATACAGTCGAGCGTGGTTAACTCAAAGTTGATGGGATGACCGCGGCCAGAAAGTTTGAGATGCTCAAGAATTCGAGTTATCCAAGGATAATATACAATTTTATGAAATTCTAAGGACCTAAAGAAAAGTTTTAAGGTTTGAACGATTCCGAATTAAAGAAATTCGAGTTAACAATGTTCGACTGTAATATAGGTCAGAAGAAAATAATATAGGCATATATCGATGGCGTAGCGCACAAGTGTGATAAGTGACATTTTCGTAATTGTTCAGGAGAACGATTTTTAAGTTTGAGATGTTATAACAAATTCAAAAATGTAATGAACTGTACGACATCTATATCGGAGTAAATAATGAACTATTCACTTACAACGTTTGGGCATAATGTGCAGAATTGTATGATTAAATTGATTATGCACTTAACTCATTTTTCAAAAAATGTCACTTATCACACTTGTGCGCTACGCCATTGATATTGTAATAGACATAATAGGGTCATTCGATGTCAAGACCAAAAATATCGGTACCTAAGTACCTTTGCTACAATATATTTTTAAAATCCAACAACCTGCATATACGTTTGAAAGTTAAGTTAGGTTACCGTAAAAAGAAAGTATTTAGTGGAAATTACTAAGCAATAATAATAATAATAATTATCAATTAAATAATAAAACTCAATACTGCATCACTGGCGAGACTCATCAGAATTAATATAAAATGTTTACATTTACAATTTTTTTTATTAAATGTATTTAGGCATGCCTGTATTCGAATAGCAATACAATTTATTGGCGGTTCGTGAACAGGATTTAAACGACAAATGTCGTTAAAATAAAACATAATAATGTAATAGGTACCTATACTCTATAAATGTAATGTAATACGTGGAAAAAATATTTTATTATAATCGATTCTTATCCAATTTTATATCTTTTCTTTTATGATATTAAATGACCAGCCTGTACCGCATTATTACCTATAAGTATTTATACACGTTATGTGATGTATATATATAGGTACGATGAGGTACCTATATCGGCTATCGTATATGTATACCTATAGTGTATTATACTATATAGTTAAATTTTTATATCGTCCAGTCTCGCCGCGTATTGAAGAATGTTTATGTATTATATATGCTTTTTCTTTTTGTTACCTATAGATTTGGACAAGAGCGACCGCCCGTTGAGAAATGCTGCGTTTATTAGAATTCGGACCATCCGAGCGAAAATTCTAAAGGACATATCGTAGGTACTGTACTTATATAAGTCTGTATTTCACCTTTGATATTAAACGATTTCCTCGTACATGTAATACTATTAAAACGGTTATTGAACATCGAAACCCATTTTTGTTACCCTCGAAAATACTTTTGATGCTTAGTTATTTGCTATTAACGATCAAAAAATATACAATATTATATTATATGCCCCGCCGTATAAAACCAATACCTATTATATATTATTATTTATTATATCACCCCGATAAAAGAAAAAAAAATATTATATTCGTTTTATCACTTTTATGTGTACTATCTGTCAGTGTAGGTATAATATTTTTATACACTTTGAACCTTTTACATGGTTTATTCCAAACTGCAATAAATGTCATAAATTGCCAAATGATAATGGGGTTCCATTATATTATATAATCTGAAATGTTATCATTTGGTTGATGTATAAAAAAAGCTGTGTGTTTTTCACATATATAATACAGAATACTATTATAGTCATATATTTAAAAAAAAAAAAATCCGATCAAAATCCCAAAGAACCAAAATTTAAAGTTAAAATAAAGAAAAAACTGAGTAGATTGAATTAATATATGCCAAAAACAATGCATAAACTTACCTGTAAATTCATTATAATAAATTATCAAATATTATTTCGTCATTAACTACCAAGATATTATAAGTCAGGTACCTACACCTATATATATAGGTAGGTTAAATTGTGTAGGTATATTACATGCAATATATACTACTATATTACATGGCCGTATTCAGCATTCATTTTGGGGGGTTAATTTTAATATAAAACTATAACATCGTTTTCAAGAATTTGAATTAAATATAACCATATAATATTATAATTGTTATAGATACCAATACAAATACAAATTTACTTTAGGTATTAATTATTATTCAAAATACATCAGCTGTATTTTTATTTATACTGTATTTATTTAACAAAAAAAAAATGTATTTAATGTACAACAAACCAGAGTTTGATTTTAAAGCAACATCATTTTCCTGGAATGTTTTACAAACCGATTTAGCACCTCTTCTGGGTCAACATTTATTTCCCTGTGAATTGACATTGATGCTAATCCTTTGAGACGAGTTTCACCAGTCGAGTTCCTAAGATACGTTTTCAATCTTTTTAAAGAAGAAAATGTTCTTTCTGGTGTCGCTGTTGACATAGGTATAATTTCTAAGAATTTCAAAAGTATCCATATGTTTGGAAACAAAAGTATGTTACAATTTTCAAGCCCTGAAATTGCTGTATTAGGGCGTGACTCTTCTTTAAGCCACTTTGATTTCCATATTGAAAATTCAGCTTTGAAAACAGTAGGTTCTGTCAATATGTGGGAATAAAACTGTACACAGTCGTTTATTTCTTCACTAGTGGAAATGTGGAATATATACATTTACTTGGAATAATTTGTTGTAATGAACTTATTAAAGATTTATGTTTCTGAAATCTATCAGAAAGCTGTATTCTTAAATGGTCAAGAAATGGCAAAAATATATTAAGCTTGTAATAATCTTCAAAGCTATTAGCGGGCACATTATTACGGTGTGTTTGTCTTTTAGCAATACGAGGAAAATCTATTTCTTCTTTATTTTTATTCAACATGATCGTAGCAACAGAAAACATGTCTGAAAAATGTTTATTGCTTTTTTCTCTCATTTCGTCCAAAATTACTAACACATTATCTACATGATTACATAATATGCTTCAACTAAATCAGTGTTTGTTGTCTGTAACTGTTTACACAACGTCAACGTATAGAAAAAATATTTTCAATTATTATGGGAGGTATAACAAATTTAGCGTCTTAAATTGTACTTAATAACTGACGAGACTTTTGAGCTGTTTCTTTATTGAAGATTCGAATTTTTCTAAAGCAAAATGAATGATTCGATATAGTTTTTTGAACCGCAGGACACTTTCAGGCTTGTAAGCCCAGCTTGTTTCACATAATGCCATTAATGTGCTATGTCTTTGACGCGGCCCGCGTTAGTAGCAAGTACAATGTACAAGCACTATAGCGACCAGTCTATCTTATCTCCAACCACCACCACGGGATGCAAGCAGAGCGACCGGGTTGACTCTCCCACCGAGCCGGTAACGGCAAGGCGGGACGGGGGGACTGTGTCGCGTGACAACGGTCGGCGGAAAAGGCGATTCGAGATCCGCCATCGGACCGTCGGACCGATAACATATCGTCCGACGTTAAACTCATCTGCCCGAGCGGCACGTCATGTATTATTATATTTTGGTCGCAATATTATAATACATAATTTGTGACATTCTTAAAGTGTTTGTGTTGTGTTTTTTTCATCACCTCAATCCTAACCAAACACTTCGACCGGACCACGATCAACCTTGAAGCAATCATCGTGTCCGCGTCATCTTGTCTGTGGAAGTGTTTCGATTATAGTTATTCTCAATATTTCACTACGTTAAGCAGAAGAGCGAAAAAAAGTTCCGACAGTTTGAATGGTGCTAATACAGTTTCTTACTGAAGGCAATGAGCTGGCGTTTGCCAACACAAGATTGAGCAAATGAGCATTGCAGTGTACATGAAAAGCCATGGGAAAACCTTTTTTTTTATAAATTCTTGAGCACCATGTAAATAACCACTCATGGCAGAGGCACCGTCGTAACCTTGACCAACTAGAAACTGGCAATTAATGCTGTTATTTTGCAAACTTTTTATTATTAAGGTTGCTAGTCCTTTTCCAGCAAGGTCAACAGCAGGTGTAAATTCTAGAAAGTCTTCACGAATTTTTTTATCACCTTAGTCAAAATAACTCTAACATACAGGCATTTGCTCAATTCTTCCAATGTCTATATAGTTTCGTCCGCTAACACAGAAAAGCACTCGGCAGCATTAACTCTTTGGACTATTTTTGACTTAATTATATCACCACAAATAGAAAT